TCAGTATAAATAAAGTTAGTTTAGTTCAGCTGTGAATATAAACTTCTTTCGTGTTATCCGATTATTCTTTTTTCGCTGCATGGCGCATATGATTGACCCTTACTAGAAAGAACTGATATAATTATTCAGTATAAATAAAGTTAGTTTAGTTCAGCTGTGAATATAAACTTCTTTCGTGTTATCCGATTATTCTTTTTTCGCTGCATGGCGCATATGATTGACCCTTACTAGAAAGAACTGATATAATTATTCAGTATAAATAAAGTTAGTTTAGTTCAGCTGTGAATATAAACTTCTTTCGTGTTATCCGATTATTCTTTTTTCGCTGCATGGCGCATATGATTGACCCTTACTAGAAAGAACTGATATAATTATTCAGTATAAATAAAGTTAGTTTAGTTCAGCTGTGAATATAAACTTCTTTCGTGTTATCCGATTATTCTTTTTTCGCTGCATGGCGCATATGATTGACCCTTACTAGAAAGAACTGATATAATTATTCAGTATAAATAAAGTTAGTTTAGTTCAGCTGTGAATATAAACTTCTTTCGTGTTATCCGATTATTCTTTTTTCGCTGCATGGCGCATATGATTGACCCTTACTAGAAAGAACTGATATAATTATTCAGTATAAATAAAGTTAGTTTAGTTCAGCTGTGAATATAAACTTCTTTCGTGTTATCCGATTATTCTTTTTTCGCTGCATGGCGCATATGATTGACCCTTACTAGAAAGAACTGATATAATTATTCAGTATAAATAAAGTTAGTTTAGTTCAGCTGTGAATATAAACTTCTTTCGTGTTATCCGATTATTCTTTTTTCGCTGCATGGCGCATATGATTGATGCATTGAGTAATTAAAAACAGGAAATACTGTATATGATAAAGAAATATGGGCATACTCTGCAGACTATATACACACTATAGGAAAATGAGGCAGCGTTTTCAGCAGGGCGACAGTATTTTTAAGCTTTTTAAACTTGAAAATGAGTATAGAGATGCCGAAATTGTACAATACAGTACACGACACATTAAATAAATAAAATATTGTAGATTGAATATTAAATTAGTTATTTTGAAATAAAAATTTGTACTTCAATAATACCGTTATATAGAGACTATGGACTACAGTGCATCTAGCTTAAATAATCATGATTTGCCTTCACGTTTTGTTTGCTGTAGAAATAGCTAATCAGCTATAGAAAAATGAAATGAAAAAGGGATATCTCATGCATCTAAAACAACATAATTTACACTTACTTATTGGCATTTAAAGCAGTCGTGGAATATCCAGAAATGATTTGCTTAAATTGACAAAGGGTTAGAAAGAATTTCCAAAAAGCAAAGCAACATTTCAGCAAATTTAAAGACCCGATCATTATCAACTCTGAAAATCAGTCCACAAGTTTTATCAATCGAAACTCATTAAATAAAGCGATCTGTTCAAATTTCGCTTTGCACTAAAATAGCCCCCTGACAAGCCCTATAATTTTGCATCATTGCCCCGACAGCCTACTCATTAGTTAAAAAATAAATTGCACACAGCTGCAGCAGAATATATCAAGGGATTTTAGCTGACAATGAAGTAGCTTGCATTTAACAAGACAATGGCAAATTTCAGTTCTGAAAACAATTTTAGGAATATTTTGTTTTCTACTACTCTTATGTTTTGGGAATATTTTTCAACAGGGAAACCTTCTAATTTCATGCGCAGCATATATAATGCTGTCCGTTGTCTACAGGTTTATCTTCAATAATAAGAGACAACAAATTACAGTTCCGGTGACCGTTGTATAGAAAGTGTTAAATGTAGAGCTTGTACTGTATTCAAATTAAAATATGTTCAGTGCAGCTACCAATTTAATTTATCTTTTTTATTTTTTTGTCAGTTTTCATTAATTCTGGCCACACCGAGGCGGAGACAGCTGCCACATGACTGGCCCTATTAACAAAGCCAAAGCGGTTAATTTCTCGGCCACCGATTAATGAAACGTGTCTACGAGCTAATATCCAATGTATACCGCAGTTAGTTATTGTAGTTGACCGTTGAAAATGAAACTGATCTTATAATAGACTGGATAGACCAAATTGAAAATGAAACTGACTCGTAATGTACTGGATAGACCCAATTGAATATGAAAGTTTTAATATTTAAATGTATGGTCCTCCCTGTTTAAATGTAATATACGACAATTAAAAAATATATAAATAGTCTAGCGTGTCTTCGGTAACATTCCTATAACTGTAATATTCATCAAATCCTACCTATAACTAATATTTTTCATGGCTTTTTTGCAAATGCCATAAATCTCCGAGACTTGAAGTTTTGTTAAAACCTTACCCCAATTACACAAGCTCGGCTCGATAGTATCATAATTTTTAAACTTATAAAGTCCAGTCTCGGTGACTTGCATTATCCTGTGTTCGACCGCTGCCGGAAAAGGCATTTCTAAGAAACTGTACACGCCATCGGCTGTTGCCCTTGGCGACTTGATTAAGTTCTCAAAGTGTACGATCTTCAGTCCTCCAGGGGGGAGAGTGGACCTAAGCCTAAAAGCATACGTTGCAAACGCAGTCCAAATATGCGCCAATGCGATATGGGTTTTTAAAGTAGCAAAGTTAAGTTCCCGCAAATGTTGAATTTCAAGTGGAAAGGTTCCAAGAGGTGTCCGAATGGCCGTTTTAAATTCTTGCAAGAATAAGTTTGATTCGTCTGGACGGTCTAACATGTGTTCTATCCAGCTTCTTGGGTCTCTAACAACGTATAACAACGGTGTTTGATTATTTTCAAACAAAACCGACATTTTAAATAACCATCCTGGATTTCGAAAACTAATAGCAGCGAATGCACCTCGTGATTTGCGAATGAAAGCTCCGTGAATAGATCGTGGATTTAAAGGATTTACTAATGCAATATAATCATCCGTATTTCCACGCGCTGTTGGAGTTTTCAGTAGAGTGTTCCACCATTCCGCAAGTTTTTCATCCAAAATGTCGCGTTTTGTCCATTCCCGCAAGTCCAGGTTATCTTCAGCAACGCCAACTCTCGATTCCGAAGGAACACCGATCGTGATAAAGTCGGGATTTGTCGTGAACAGTTCAAGGGCGAGTTCCATTCCGCTTGAAGGTAGTCCAGTTATCACTACAGCGTTCAGTGGACGGTCATTTTTCCGGGTAGGGAGTATGGGAGCAGTGGAATACTGGGGAAGCCGGCTTGTCTCAAAATGCTTGTAGGAACTCCCTATATACACATAGATAGCAAAGCATATGGAAAGAGCACAAAATACTATAACCTTCAATCTGAACCGAAGACGTGTTTTGAAATTCAAATATAAAAATAGCAGCATAGTACAAACAACGATATAAACAAAACCAAATGGATATCTATGGACTCGGCTGATGGGTATTTGTGACGTCATCGTGCTGACGTCACTAGCCTTGCTGACGTCATTTGCATCACCTCTCATTTTCACCCCCAAATGAAGAGTGGAAACATTATTTTCTGACTTGATGTTAACTTTCCCATAGCCATTAGAACCCAGTAGTTTTCTCCGCAATCGGGGGTCGTCGTATCGTGTCGATAAAGTTATACTATATTCCACCGAGTTTAGCTTTAAGTTAATATTTATTCCGTTATCCTCAATTTTTGAAAGTTTTAAATGTTTAAGAGTGTATTGAGGCCCATGAAACACGTACGCAGTGCTTGTCAATAGTTCTGAACGCTTCCACGTAATGTTGACGAAATTTGTGGCATGTCTTTGTTTGGTTACTCTGAAGTTATTTTTAGTGCTGATGTTAACAGTCTTTGCATTCAAATGTTCCCAGCACATTTTATAACGGCCAATAGCCGCGCAATGATTTTTATCGTTGTCGTACGCATCGGTGTTGAACACGAAATCGGAGTTGTGAAAAAACGCACTAGCGTGCGACGTCACGCTATCAGCACGAAACCGCACGATATCGACAACTACAAGCACGCTTGGTGCAAGCATGACCAAAGCACGGTATACAGTTGTTAACCCAAGATCTTTGTCATACACTTGCGACATGTCACCGCTCATAAATATGACGTCATTTTCGCGCGAGTACCCCACGAGCTCTCCGCGTGCGCCCCACGTTCGGCTGTCAAACTTAAAATTAAACCACATCTTACACTCGCCTAGTTGCCCGAGATAAGGTCGAGTGCATCCTTCGTTTGATGGTCCAAACATTAAAGTGTTTTGTAAATAGGTGTACTTTGGCGCGTAACGAGGCTCAGTGATAACAGCTTGATCTTTTGTCACAAAAACAAACGATCCTTGGTCCGGCTGTTCGTGTCCAGGAACAAAACCGCGTTGTGTATTGAAGTTTAAACTCGGCCTCAACAAATTAATTGCACGGCCATGTAGATGGCTGCATTTGAACGACAGAAATACATGCGGGTCTGGAATCCCACCACCGTATGTAAGAACTCCCCAGTCGCTAAAAACATGCAGTTTAACCTCACTCGCTCGTTTCGGCTTCAAACTGCTGTTATGGAACAAAAATTCTGTATGTACTTGCGACTTATAATCATGACGATTTTTATAATTGACCTTATTCACTCTGTGACTCTTTATTTCATTGCTAAGCCATTTCGCTCTACCATCTGGGTGTAGGTAGTTTTCTAAGAATTCCAGTTGACTCTCTGGACCATACGCCCAGTTTAGGTTAGAGTCAGCAAACCCAACTGTGAGCTGAAACCCAGGTATTATAGTGTACAAGAGGAAATCAAAATGTTTGCGCAACCAGTTGTTCGTTCTATAATTGCGCGCAAAATGTCGTTCGGAAATAAACATAAATTGCGTCAAGGATCTCATTGTATACGTACCATATGAGACCCCCTCCTGGAAAGAGCCGTCCACGACTAGTTTCAAAAATTCCATAGTGGCGTTTAGCGCGTTGACCGATGTTTCTTGCCAAGCCAGTGCTATCTTTGGGTAATACGGTTTGAGGACAAGCGCTGCAGTTAAAAGCGCCATGTAGTTCGTTGCCACGTGATTGTGTACATACGACCGACCCCACCATATCTTGTTTGCAGCGTTAAACAGTTGAGTGCCAGTTTGTAGTAGCTTGGTGGCGTAGCGATCACGTTCGTCAAGCGTGAACGAGCTATAAAGGCAATCAAATGCAGTCGCGTAGCCAAGTATTGAATGCGCAAGAGGAATTTCGTCTTTTTCTAGACCCGTTACTAACCACGTATCGTAACTTGTGAATCTTTTCATAAATAACTTAGCAACATCCAATGCCTCGCGATCTCCAGGCGTCAGCGCGCAGTATACAGCAAGACTTCCTAACAGGTTTCCATAACGCTCATTCCATTTTGAATTAAATACAATCACACTCTCCGGCGGTATCCCACCTGATCCCAAATCTCGCATAAGCTTTGCTAACTCTTTATATATCTCCGCATGGCTAGATGAAGCTTGCGCGCGTAGTTTAGGTAAATCTTTAGCCGAGAAATAAAGATTTGGATAATGCTGTTCCAGATTACCAGTGTTTATCGCTTTATGACTCTTGTACACTTCGCCACGTAAATGAATAATGTGTAGAACAATGACTTGAAACCATATATACAAAAATTTCATCGTTAACATATTTATATTTGCCATCTTTATATTAAAAGCTACAAAACCAGCACGCGGGCTAGCTTGTGTTGACCAAACAGGCAATAGCAATTTGAGACTGTGCGTCCTTAAGTTGTGAAATTGATATCAAGTTTCACCGATGATATGCAAAGCAGAGAATAGGAACACAGTATTGTTTGTTTGGTTGTCCTTCAACCGGGTTGCAAATCAAGCCGGGATCGTGTATAGGTAGCCTAATAACCCAATATGATTTTTGGTATGGGCAATATTTGGCTCATTGTAATATATATTTATATTAAAAAACCTCAACTTGATTATCGTTTTTCCACGGATATGTCATGAATTGTAAATTAGATTTCCGTTGTTTTTCTTGGTGACAGGAAATATATATGCCGCAAAATTTTGGGCCCTCGGGCTAGGATATATGCCATCCTCGAGCTTTCTCACTGCTCAACCTTCTGCACAACAATATTTTTTTATATAAAACTCAACAAATAATGGATTGTAAAATGGGACCAATATTATTATAGTATTTGAGTATATATAAGGGAATCTTGCAATGTAATGTTGTGTGGTAAAATAAATTGATTGATTGATTGATTGACTTTCTACAAATTAGACTTGGGGTGATATTTACTGTGATGAATATTGGCTTGAAGCGTGCTTTATTTTTGCGCTATTGAATTTTGGTTCGGCGGTTATTATACGTGCGTGTACCGCATGTAATCAGCTAGCCTGGAAATGGAGTGATATATTGAGTAACCAAAACGCCTGCTTTGCAGGCTAGAAAGCAGCCTACGTATACTCTAGCAATAAATTAATGGTAATACAGTGAACCTCGTTGTGCTATCAATATGATGCATATGCATTATAAAGCTAGAGTCAACTATCTCAACCCGACAATTTAAAAAAAAATACATATTGCATTTTTAAAAAATCCACAACACTATAAATGGTGTTTTAATTAATAGCACCGTGGGGTTTCAAACACGTCTTCAGCGCAACTTTTTTTTACTAAAGAGTAAAGTGAATATTTAAATGAAGAATAAAGTTTATCAATATTCTCTTGAATAGGCGAAATTGAAAAAGTCCGGAAACATTTACAAAAAGCCTCTTGAGTTTTAAAGAGCATTCATTCAAGTCATTTTGTTCTGAATGATATAGCTTAATATAAAACGGATACTCTTGGCTCAATATATTCTTCAATTGAAGAAACAATAGAGTAGGAGGTCTATCGTTTTTTAGAATATACACTTATTGAGAGGTAGAGGGCTTAAAGCTGAGGAAAACGGCTTTACCTATTAACTTTTACGAAAGAAAATGAGAGAAATAATCCACTTACAGTCGGGACAATGCGGGAATCAAATTGGAGCGAAGGTATGCTAAAATGTTTGTGCTTTTAGTTTTTTCTACAGATAGGTTATAAACGTTAGATGATTATATAGGATTTAATTCTTACAGACAAAATGCGATTCTGAAGAAAATGTCTTTCGATCAATAGCATATATAATTAGTATATCGACAGTTATTATAAAAATTAAATCTAGCTATTTGAGTATTATTGGCACTGGTCACTATTTCATAAACATTTCATGGTTATAGTTCTTTCATGGCAACAACGGGTCGTAAAAATTGAAAAAAATATATATGTAAGAAATGCCACTTCTAGGATCGAGGTTTTTAAAAGTAGAAACTGAGTTAGCATCCATATATTCGCAGTTCTGGGAGACAATTTCTGAAGAGCATGGTATAGATGAAAGCGGCGCCTACAATGGTCAAGATGATATACAGTTGGAAAAAATTGACGTCTATTATTCCCAGTCAGGATGTAAGTAATCCTAGCATGATATTTCAAACATACGACATAACTGGTCGAGACTGCCATTCCTTCTATTTAAAATTTCCACGCCCTTTATGATAAATTCCATGCAAAGTCATTCAGTTACTGGTCGCACGAGATGGTCATTCAATGAATGTTGGTTCGTTTTCTCTAGATGGTAAATATATCCCTCGCGCCATATTGTTTGATCTGGAGCCTGGTACCATGGACGCGGTGCGAGCTGGTCCGTATGGTCAAAATTTCCGACCAGATAACTTCGTGTTTGGTAAGATGACGTAATGGAAATATACCACATAATTCAAAGAAAACCTACTTAGCTTTGCTTATATATACTGGATAGCTCTATCAGTTCTACACAATTATTTCTAGAGGTCCACTAAGGCCATCCTTTTTGTTTGGTTTTTCCCAAAACTTAATTGCTCTCTTTTCAGGCTATAGTGGAGCGGGAAACAACTGGGCAAAAGGCCATTACACCGAAGGCGCAGAATTGCTGGACACTGTATTGGACAATGTACGCAGGGAGGCCGAGAACTGCGAGTGTTTGCAGGGGTTCCAGCTTGCCCACTCCTTGGGCGGTGGAACAGGCTCCGGCATGGGCACATTACTGATGACGAAAATCCGGGAAGAATATCCCGACCGGATAATGAACACCTTCAGTGTGGTCCCTTCCCCGAGGGTGTCAGATACCGTAGTGGAGCCGTACAATGCGATATTGTCGTTTCATCAACTGATAGAAAACACAGACGAGACTTTCTGTATCGATAACGAGGCTCTGTACGATATATGTTTCAGGACTCTGAAACTTAAGACACCTACATATGGGGACTTGAATCATCTAGTTGCCTTGACGATGAGTGGCGTCACCACTTGTCTCAGATTTCCAGGACAGGTAAGTCTCGCAATGCGTTGTGGTCTGGTTGATTCGCTTATCGTGGAAACACGATGATTACTTATTTTGCAAAGCAGGATTCTCATCAGTGGAAATAACTTGCGGATTGAATAAGTTAGTCTGTCATGTCAGCAAATAACAAGGTGTTGAACACTTGTCTACAATTTAGGAGCGCGAGCAGTCTTGAAATAGTCTTGTAGCAAGTCCGCGCTAGGCTTGTAATAACTTGTTAACAGGCAGAGGACAATCAGTGCAAATACAACCCGATATCAACTTCTCGAAACAAACTAGTCTGCTGCAGGCAGGTATGTTAATAGTACGTTAAAGGCAACAATAATATACTCCTTGTTTTCCAGTTGAATGCTGATTTGAGAAAACTGGCGGTGAACATGGTACCATTCCCACGACTTCACTTCTTCATGCCAGGCTTTGCGCCACTCACCAGCCGTGGCTCGCAGCAGTATCGTTCCATGACAGTTGGCGAGCTTACACAACAAATGTTCGATGCTAAAAACATGATGGCTGCTTGTGATCCTCGTCATGGTCGTTATCTCACAGTGTCTTGTATATTCCGTGGTAAGAATGACAATAATAACAAGTTTACTTTACGTGGCTGACATATGACAACGATTAGCTGGTAAATTTCTGGTCCAAAATTACCTACCTCAATGCAATACACTCCTCAAAATTACCTAACTAAATACAGTATATTAATTGCTCGAAGTCGCGGTTTGCCAAATTAAATATAAAATGTCAGGTAAACTGAAGAAGATTCGTTTCTTCCAAAACAAAATGTTGTTCATTCTAAGCTTGGGTGTTGTATTAACTCAATCATTCTGAGAGAGTTAATAACTAAACACGCCATGTAAAAATAGCAAACAAATAGAAATGAAAAATAATATTCATTTCTTTAAAGGTACTGTAGATATGAGGGACCATTTTATGATATATTGCACACTTGAACTACAGATCTGGCCTGCCCCCCCAAAAACATATGTTAGCCTTCTTAGACCATATATATATTTTATTTCGAACCCTGTGTGTGCTGTACCTAAAAGTGACCAATGTCTTTACAAGGTAAAATGTCCATGAAAGAAGTCGATGATCATATGGTTCAAATCCAGAACAGGAACAGCGCGTATTTTGTGGAATGGATTCCGAACAATGTGAAGACTGCTGTCTGTGATATCCCACCCCCCGGGATGAGGATGTCTGGGACGTTTGTTGGTAATACAACGGCAATACAAGAGTTGTTTAAACGCATCAACGAGCAGTTCACGGCCATGTTCCGTAGGAAGGCTTTCCTGCATTGGTACACGGGAGAGGGCATGGATGAAATGGAATTTTGTGAGGTAAGAACAATGAGCTTTATTTACCACTGGGCCATACATTACGTTAACAGTTGTGTTTTAAGAAATTAATGAAAAAGAAGTGATTTTAACTGAGAAAATCGAGGAAAACGTTTATGCAAATCAGGAGAATTTTGTATATGTGGATACAATGACACATTAAACATTGATTTCTTTTGAAATTCGTGAATTATTGAGTTTTACAAGCCGATTTGAACCTGCATGGGCAGAGAAAACTATGGACTCGCAGTTAGCCCCCTACTATATAGATTAAACGCCACTTACAAGATTTTCCTCACTTCATAGGCGGAGTCGAATGTGGCAGACCTCGTGTCAGAATATCAACAATACGAAGCCGAGGAAGAGGACGCTGATCATGACGATGTAGATTCTGATAACGAGTTTTTTGCCTGAAAACGAAGAAATGGACCTAATGTATAGTATGGATATGGGAATACTAAACACACTACTTAGTAGTAATAATGCCTGGTTTTCACTTGCAAAACAAGCAAAAGCTAAACAAAGCTTTTGTGCTCTCTCTTTTCCTCCAAGATTTAGCCTGCGTGGCAGGCCCTCAGTTTTATGGGGGCCTGATTTGCAACGTGCAGGATTTTGGCGGGCACGGGGGAGGAATTAAAAACTGAGGCGCCTGCCACGCAGGCTATCCAAGATTATACTCGTGTGTTGCAGGTGAAAACCCAGCTTGCGGGCAGCTCCAGATCGCAGGCTATAGTGAAGATCAGACTGTAGACTCAGTATGCAATTTTCTTTTAAGAAGTTACTTTAACTAAGGACTGTAAATTTATCATCGAAGGCCAAATAAAAAAAGATTACATTACGTGACAGGGTCATAGACATCTTATATTACACTAGATAGTGCAACTAATTATTCTACAATTCAAAAATTGAAGCCGTGATTGCAGACTCGATCAAGATATTCCCATGAAATGAGAAGATTCGTATGTTTACTATTTCTTAAACACGGAAGTTAAATATTAAGGTAAACCTATTCCAAATACATTTTTAAACTATTCAAATGATGAAAGTTATTGTTGTGTTTTAAGCGTTTATTAGCGAGTGGGAAACTCCAACATGGCCGCCATCTATCCAAATGGGGGTAACCGCTGGATTATTCTTGGCTTCAATTTTACTAAAAGAGATGCGCTATCTAGTCTATATAAGATATCTGTGGACAAGGTACCAGTCAACACGCTGTCCCACGATTGCCTTGAACGGTCATATGTAGACATTCAGTTATATCCACTGTCTTTGATTTGCCACACATGTTCAACATACAGCACCGCTGCAGATTCAGCACGCTTCGGATTAAAGAACTCTGGCTGACTTCCTTATGCGTAACTTTTTAATATACTCTTTCCGTAATTACATCACGAATACTTCATTGGCCTGGGAGCATCGCTCTCATGAATCAAGACGAAAGACTATTAGGTCACAAGAACGAGGTTCCCGGGCTAAAGATGGACTTGTGACGCAATATCGAAAGGATGTACTCACATTGAATAGTATCTCATAATATTATTATGAAAATATCATACCTATATACATGTGCTAAATAACCCAAATTTTATATATACAAGTTTTCTAAATTACCAAATTTTCTAAATTACTTTAGGGACCGGTCATTATTTATGGTGGGGGGTGGCACCGAAGAGAAATGTTTTTTGTGGGAAAAATTTTGCTGACCCAACCATTAAAAAGTCAAAAATTTGATTACCCAACCTCAAATATCAATTAAAAAATGAATACCCACCCCTGGCCAAAACCTTTACAAAAGGTTACCATTCAGTTGTCACACATGTCCTTTTAATTGCCACTTCTGTGACATGAGTTTGATAACGGCTTGTGAAATTTTCTGCAATCTAAAGTTTCATATTGTCTGCACTTGTAGTTTCTTTGGAGACACAATTTGTCTCCTGACAAATTGGAAAATGATGAAGATAATGACTTGATTCACATATTATATTGACATTGCTTTTTAGTCTCCAATATTTCAGTGAGTCATGCTTTGGAAATAACAATAATTTTTTTATTACCCAATCCTTGAGTTGTTTTGTTTTTCATTTACCCAACCTTTTACTTACTCAAAATTTAGTTTACCCAACCCTTTTCTCTTCGGTGCCACCCCCCACCATAAATAATGACCGGTCCCTTAACACAACAGTTTCGGTCCATATCGGCTGTTCCCACTGGCAACACAATAAGAGTCTCTCTCGAAGCAAGTCTACTTTAAACATCATACTAAGTTTCTTAGCATTTTTATACTTACACTTATTTAAAATTCGAACGAAACCCAACGAAAGCCAGATAAAGCTATCCACCGGATAAAGCTATCCACCGGATAAAGTCATCCACCGGATAAAGCTATCCCCGGATAGTGATTTTTTCAACCTTTGTAAAATTGTTCGTTGATAACCCGGATTAAACATTAGCATTTATAAATTAAAGTTTCGTTTTATTAATTGTGAGCTCCATATTCGTAGTTTTATAACTTTTCAAGCAAATTTTCACAGCGGTTGAAAAAATCACTATCCAGTGGACAGCGCTATTCAGCCGGCTTCCTACAACCGACCCCTGTACATTAGCTGCCAAATACATGTGATGCATAATAGGGTGCCACTACCTTCAGGATTTCAATATCAACGCATTACTGTAAGTTTCTGCCTATCAGTTTTTCTTATCAAAAATACCGAAACTAAACAACTCAGTTCAACTTATCTGCTTTTTGTACTTTATGAATCGAACAAGATTAGTCCTCGCTGTATTTACAATTGGGATACGATCTCCAAGAGTAGATCTTTCTTTCTTTACCTACAAAGAAGGAAGCAATAACTTGTATACATGGTGGTACAGTATATGTGAGATTGGTGTGCAGCAATATGCAGTTATCTGATATATAATGGAGAGATTTGACTACGAGTACGACATTCGTTATTTGCACATCGTACCCACGCCATAATCTCGTAGTAGAGGCTTGTCTTACTACGAGATTTTTTTAAAAAAACTCCCGTTGTCAATTTGTCCACGGCTAGGACGTTAACATGTATCAGGTGTTAGTACAAGATGGCGTATAATTTCGCCCCATACGCGTGAGACGAGTGATTCCAGTTTGACTGGACCAAACATCGCAGTATTTCTCCGTCTAACAGTAAAAACCCATTTCCACTCAAGAAATATTTTCAGTGGAAAGAAAAATTTGTAAAACGTGATTGGCCGACACAAATTTTCCGTCGGAAAATAATGTTCAAGTTGAAAATTTTCAATTTTTAACAATGATATTTTCGGAAAATTTTCTGTTCGTGGAAAATTTTCTTCAGTGGAAATGGGCCTTACTAAACACTGATGATCGAGACATGTTTCTTTGTAAACTCCATGCAGGGCCTTATTAGTCTTCTAGGAAGAACACATGCAGCTTAGGCAGAACTGACGGAGCTATCGAATATATAGACAGTATATATCCATACATACAACCATAATCAGGGCCGCCGAGAGGTTGGCGGGGGCACGGAGCAATTTTTTTTTAGGGGCCCCTATCTAAAAAATTTTTCCGGATAACAACAACCCCCCCCGTCGCCAAAAAATCTTCGGTCAGTGTACCATTTTAGGGGTAAAAAATTTTTCCGGACAAGTACGTTGCAATTACTTTCCAGGTATCTTGTCCTTTGCGCGAAAATATTTAACACACAAAAAAGACTGGGGCCCAACAAAAATTTTTCAGGGGCCCCCAGCACCTCGGGGCAATTTGCCCCCCCCTCTCGGCGGCCCTGACCATAATAGGAATAACTTTGCTCACCCTTGATTTAAGTACTGGGACAACTTTCTCCAGGTGAGCCAGCAATTCAATATTGCCAGAAGCAACATCTGCTACAGGGCTATCAGCAAATACGTCAAAAATGGCGTCCAGTGCCTCAGCAATCACCCCCAGACTCTCACTACTCATAACTACGTCACGTAACACTGTCCCGATACACTAGCAAAGCAGAAGGTGTTTGTTAATCACTGTGCATGTTCTTTTCACATCTGCATTCGGGAATTCATTACAATATACAGTTGAATGATTATAATTTTACCACAGTCTTCACGACAGTTTACATTTTGACTCTACCAAACACTGCACCATCCTGACACTGCACCAACACGCATAGGCGTACGGAAGGAAAAAATTAAGGGGGGGGGGGGCATCAAAAATTTGTCCGACGTTGGTGAAATTTCCCGATAGAGGTATCCTTTAGTATAGATTAAGTTTCCTCTGTAGTAACACTGGGGCAAATTTGAGGTAATGCCTTCATTGGACCTTTAGGCAGAAAACTTTAGAAATACGGTAATAGAGCTATCCAGCTTCATTTGCCAAGGGGTGTCTGCCACAGCGAAGGTATATTGCCAGACTGCTATGTCGGAACCAACTGTTCGAATGTTGAGTCTTCTGGAAATGTTAAAAGCTTTCAACAAACGTCTACCAACGCGTACAATAAGGATGACATCACGAGCACATTATATACCTGCAGAGGTTCTAAGACATCTGAATCTGATGATATCAACATTTTTCCAATGATCCCCAAGACATTCATGAGAATGACTCGAGCAGCTTCTAGCGTTACCACACCACTTAAGTGACAGAGTAGTTCCACTTGCTCTGCCGTCACACACTGGAAAATAAAGCAAATTTGATTTAATTTTTCCTTAAACATTAAATCACCAAGCGTGTTGGCACAGAATACTACACAGAAGTCCATCTCCATTGCTTTTTGCGTAAGCTCTATTCGTCATGATTCGTCACTCAGGAAGTACCGTAAACAGAAGCAGTCCCCCCTGGAAATACTCAAAATGGCGCACGTCCAGGGGGTGACTGCTTCTGTTTACGGCACTTGCCGAGTGACGAATCGTAACGAGTAACGCTTACTCAAAAAACAATGGAGATGGACTTCTGTGTAGTATTCTGTGGTGTTGGTAATTAACATATGAAGAAGTGTTTCCAATTTGACTCTAACCACTATTGGAGGCTATCTTCTGTAATACTGGATCGATAAGGGATGGGCCTTATCGGTGTTTCACTAACTTTTTTAAGTACAAGTAATTACTGTTGGTATGATTTTTTTATTCTTTTGTAACCAAATGATTCATTAAAAAATCTCGAAGTCTAAATTATACAATCGATCTAACGCGTCATCCTGCATGAATAATTGATTTCCAAACATCGAAAGAGCCTTTCACTATTGTACCTGAGAATTCACACCAGCCAATTTCTCCAGCACAGAACGAATGGCGTTTGAAGCAGCTTCGATAAATTCATTATCAGTTCGTGTGAAACCAGAAACTGAATCTAAAAATAGGAACATTTAAATGTCAGGTCTGCCGAGAGATCTCGTGGGGCCTGGGGTCAAATTTTTCCTGGACTTTATATGACGTCATACTATAGTATTTCTCAAGTGGTGTATCTGACAGTGCCTCTACAGGGGACTAAGGGTCCCCGTTTATATTTGGCACCCACGTTCTTTCGCCAGCCATGCCAGAAAAAAACCCCCAAGGAAAATATCTAATGATATACAATTTCTATAAAGAAATATAACGCGAAGTTTGCAGTTTGTAGTTTGTAGTATTCAAAGTAGTTATTACCGTTGTTTTGGAAAGCGATCTCCATTATTTTATTCCATAGCAGTGTTATGGCTTCAGGTCCACCAAGCTGATCAATATCAATGCTTGATAACATGTTGTTCAGACAGACCAGGGCTCGAGTTTGGATTGTTTCCATTCTAAATTTTAAGGAAATAGAAACACTATTTAAGCCACACCAAAAATTAAGCATTTTAATTTTAGCTCTGTGATCGGGATTCAATTTCTGCAATACAGTATGCCATTATGTAAGGCATGACCAACATTAGACCTCCAGGGATAACAGTTTAGATCTGATAGAGCTAGCCTAGGTTATTGTAGGTTACGTTTAGTGTACACGCAATACAACTCGTACATTTTAAGACAACCGGCGCCTTCTTTTGTTTTCAGGGCTTCAATTTCTTCATTTAGTTTAACAAAGGAGCATTTCTCCAAAATCTAAGGAAAATATAAAACTCGAAAATTATACAAGTATATGTCCATGTTGCATTTTATAGCGTAAAGCGAAATGTTGTATACTACAGTATAGTATAAATGTTATATTTTCACCTTCTTTGGCAATTCATGTGATAAAACTGATGATACTATTTCTTGGGAAAGACTCGAAGAATCCTAAAAAGAAAGAAAAGATAAAATGTATGGGGTGGCATGATGATATATCTCTTACTTTAATGCAGAACGAGTACGTACCATGTCGGGTTCCATATTTGCGTCACCAGAACAATTTAAATCACTCTCTTCACTGCTTGGTTCATCACTGCTGACTTCTTCCCAGTCCTCTTCATCAATTTCTACATTTAACATCATTATGTCATTATGTCATTAGTCAAAAACAACGTCATATATTACCAACACCGAAATTTAAAGGCCCATTAGTTCAACTCAGGAAAATTTTCCGCAGAAAGAAAAATTTGTAAAATGTGATTGGCCGACACAAATTTTCCGTCGGAAAAAAATTTTGAAGTTGAAAATTTTCAACTTGTAACATTTTTCTTACCCCCACTACAACACATATTCGTTAAAACTTCTAGCGTGATTTGTTGAGCTTCGAGGAGATGGCGAAATTTCTGGATCTACAATAGAGAACTGAGTTTTGAGTTGATAGCAACATTATGTTAGACTCCGGGCAAGCAAAACTTATTACATCAACACGGTTATCGTAAGAAATTATCAGGACGTAGCAATGCACCCTGTAATTCATTTTGGTATGAAGAAAAGTTTCTACATCCTTTTACAACAGTAGATGCTGCAGATAAAGCCGTTATTAGAGACCTTACGATTTTAGGACAGCAACGCGACAGCGACGGCCAAAACAAACTCCTTTAAATAAATGGTAGTAAAGATAGTTTGTGGTATATTATCAATCGTATGAATTTAATACAGTTTTAGAAGTTGAAGACATGGGTTTTATGGTTGGGAAGAGTTCTGCTAAACCCAGTTTGAAGTTGCACTTGTTGTGGCTTGAAATGCAGCCGTTGTATCAAGACGTGAAAATCTGTGATTTGGCGTTGTAAACAGAGCGAGGACAATGTCTAAATTATTCATATATTGTAATTACTCAATTCTTTTCAACGATCTGTTGTATTGGTAGCCGTTGCCGTCGCAGTTGCCGTCCTAAAATCGTAAGGTCTCTATTATTCAGTGCCCACCTCCTGGTCAACATCAACTTTGTCTTTTTCATTGTGCACTTTTCCATTTTCCAACTGGCCATTTTCCATCATTTCACTTTCCTTAGAATTACTCAATTTCTCTTTGAGTGCTTGTACACACTGACAGATATCAAAGCTCAACACTTTGCCAAATATATTGCCTATTGCTTGAAACATTTCGAAGACAACGTGGGAAGGCAAGCTTTGGGCAATGTTGAACAAAACACCTGGAAACACAGAAGAGTTTGAGGCCATGTTACACGAGGCTGCAATTTGCAACGCAATTTTGAATAAAGAACCATGATAACTACAGTAAAACGTAGTCACAGAGAGAATTGAGAATGGCCCGCATTCTACTCTGCCAACACTTTCTTGACAAAAAATACTCTTAATGGATGAAAAATGAAAGAAATGGGATGAAAAATGTCGGCGGAATAAGCCACAAACCATCCTCAAAATTTTTCTGCGTCTACTTTTTATATAACACTGGGGTTTTTTTATCAGAAATTGCTTTGCAAGTTGCACAAAAAAATGACTCGCATGGCCTTTGTTGTCCATTCAGGGTTCCAATAAAATGGTCTATGTTACTACCGAAGAAGACCTTAAACTGAACTTATTTGATTTACACTAAACTGTTCTCCCTAGAGGTCCAATTATTGTTGAGCTGAACTAACTTTATACTGAAAAGCTCTATCTGACTATCACTTCTACAATATTCTTGCAAGAGATCCAGTAAGTGGCATCCCTCATTGATCCATTATTACTACAAAAGAAAAGCTCCACAAAAAAACCTGTGGTGTTTGCAAACTGGAAGCACTCTTCCTTTACTGTGATTCACCACAAGATGTAATACCTGCCATATGAACTTTCAGTAACAACAGTTCTTCAGTTGCATCACTACACAAGAGATTCTTTTCAAGAATGTTTAAAGATTCTTTAGAGTTTGCTAAATATGTAGCTGCTGTAAGGTTGTCTTCTGTGATAGTGCACAAACATTGGGCTAGAAAAGTAATTTCCATTATCATGGTTATGGTGTTGAAATGAAATGAGAGATATCAGAAGGAGAACATAATTTCATACAGGGATGGATTTACTGGGTGTGTGTGTGTGTGTGTGTGTGTGTGTGTGGGGGGGGGGTGCACCCCCCCTAGCCCTGGCCAGAGGGGGGCAGGGGGTGCTATTTTTCATGATAAAGCAAAAAATTATTAGAGGCAAAATGAGATACATCAATTTGAGTAATAACATGATAAGTGAATTGTGAACAACAATTACAATTCAAATACAGTAGTCAAGCAAGACTTTGTCATAGTGAAGCAAGTTGATGGGCGGGCGGCACACATGACTGACACAACTCGGCACCAGAGCTGGCAGAGCACCCCTACAAGATCATGCTGATCCATCCCTGATGTCATAGTTGCTGATTTGGTAACCTAGTTGATCTAAATTTATAGTCAGACTAAAATGAACAGACTGTACCTGTTAACAAAACATTCTTCATTTCAAACAGTTCAGCATTCAAAAATGTAGTGAGAACAAGGACTATATTTTCATCATTAATTTTCTTTATTGTTTCACTTTCGTTTTCACTGTAAAGAAAACGTCTGATTTAAGAATTACACTATTAATCTATATAGTTGGTTGAAGTTTGAACAGTTGCACACATATGTAAATCCAATCATTTTTAATGTTATGTCAATTACCTTAAGTTCAAGAGTAAATGCATTACTTGCTCATGAACAGAAGATTGCTTTTCTATCATTTTTTTACTTTTTTTTGAGATGACTTGAACACTTTCTGAAAACTATAAGATTAATATATAAAAATATTGAATTCAGCTAAGAGGATAATAAACACTAACATACATGTAACTCTACTTTAACCCATTGATTACCAGCGCTCTTCCCTTGATCGCTCTTTCCTTGGAATCGTTCGGCATTAAGGCAGAGCAAAATAATAAAGTAAGCGCAACACAACTTAATGGGTATTTAGTGTACTTTGGTGTATACCTTTTTGATGTAATAAATCACTGGAGTCATAATATCTTGTTCAAGCATTTCCACACAGATACTTGGGGAACTGGAGAGCGTAAGATTCCTACAAAACAGATGACTAGGAAGTTATCACACAGGCAACTATGCCTACCACTTGTAACCCTAATTTGGTCAGTGATTTCATATCAGTGGTGGATTACATGAACAGGCATACAAGATGTGGGGGAGGGGG